TTGTTTACTTATTTACAAAACTTTCACAAATTCAACTCACAAGAACAATGCATTTCTTTAAATACTATATAATATATAGTATACAGTGAATAAAAAAAAATTAATTTTTATTTTAATTAAAAATAATAAATTATATATATATTGTAATATTTTAGATTTAAAAATTTCTACGACATTATTTTTAAATTTGCTTCTTAATATACAATGTTTTCAAGCAATTTTTCAAAATTAATTTTGTTTTTTTATATTACATATTGTTTGTATCAAGTTATTAATTAACATTAATTTTTGAAAGTATTTTCTTGTCAAAATTCACAAAGGAAAGAGGTTTTTCTTACTAATATTAACCACAGAAAAAGAAAAAGCTTAAACCACAACAACAACAACTTTAAGGTTAAGCGCAGTTTTTAATAATATTTAAATTTTTTGTTATTAATTTTAATTTTATTTAAATAACTGAATACTATTAAAGATATTCTTGGTTATGTTTGTGATAATCCAGCAAGTATTAATTAATTTAATTTAATTATATTAAAATTAATGCCTAAAGCCTAGTAGTTAATTCTCAATCATTTTATTGGGCATAAAACTGTATTTCAAAATCTATATGTATTTTAATGTATTAATAATATTTTTTTCTATTATTATTATTTTTATTTTATATTTTTTTCAAATTTTTTTAATAATAATTTAATTGCAAAAATAAACTTAAACATATAATTTTTGTTTAAAATCTAATTTTATTTATTTTAGTTGCAATATATTTTGAAATTATTAAAATTATTAATTAATTTTAAAATAAAAATAAAATATTAAAATAATAATATTAAAAATAATATTATTTATTTTTGGTGACAATATGGATATTGTTTATTTAATTATAAATTGAAAAGGAGTTTATCACTATTACTTTATGTATTATTATTTTTATTTAAGTATTATTTTTTATCAATATATATATATATATATATATATATATATATATATAATATATATATATAATATATTATACTTTATATATATACTTTCACATTTTGTATTACTTTTATTTTTTATATTATATAAAATAATATCATATAATATAATTTAAAAATAATTATGTAATTACTATTGTTCATTTCTGTTTTTAATTTATATTTATATAGCTTTGAGTTAAAAATACATTTTATATTTTAATGGCTGTTATACCAAATATTTTTTCATATTTAAATTTTTTTTTATTAAGTTTCTCTTTATTGCTTATATATATTTAAATTTATTAAGTTTTATTTTATTACTTATATATATTTAAATAAATATTTATATATGTATGTATACTTTCTGTTTTTATTCTATATGTTGCACATACCCTTTTTATTAAATCATTATCAATTCATATATTTATTTTTATTAGAGAGTTATTGTATTTATTTATGTATATTCAATATATTTACTCTTTCGTATACAAATATTCTTAAATATTGCCTTATTTACATTTCTTTATTATTAATAAATTATTATTATTATTGTCATATAATCAATTATTTATTTACTATTTTATTATTATTACTTTGTTATGTATTTTATTTTATTTATATAAATCAAATTTGTTTATATTTCCTCATATTTTTTCATTATTTACATATATTATATTTCAGATGCATGTAATTCATATATTATTTTTTATGTGCATTTAATAATATATAGTGTTTTTTCTGAATGTTGACAGTCTGTTTATTGTCCTTAATTTATATTTATTTCATGAGAATAAATATAAATAGTCAGAAAATATATTTAACTATTTGCCAAAAAATTAATTATTAATTTTTAAAATTTATTTATTTTATCTTTGCTTTAATATTTATATTCATATTTAATTATTTATTTTTCAATTATATATTGATTAATTAATTATTTATTATATTTTCACGTTATTGCTATAAATAATTTTTTCTTCCATAAATTTATATTGGTTTAATTTTCAGATTTATTATATACTTTTTTATTCACATTTTATGTTATAAATATATTTATAATATTAAAAAAAATTTATTTTGTATTTTATTTAAATACTAATATATAATTTTAATAAAACAAAATAAGACTTAAATACTTTTAGATATTTAAAAATAATTTTCTTAATTTGATAATAAAACTTTTATATATTAAACAAATTAAATAATATATTTTTTATTAAATTTAAATGAAACATAAAAATATTTATTGTCTAAATATTGTTTTAATTAATTTTAAATAAAAACCAAATACTCTTAATATTTATTAAAACAAATTAAAAGAAAACTTAATTATTTTAAGTACCTTTATTTTTTTTAAATAATCTGAAATAAATATTAAACATATTTAAGGTAATAAATCTTTAATTTGTTTTTCCATATGCAATTTCTTGAGAGCATATTGCTTGCAATTATTAACTAATTATTTATTTTTTGTGATATATATTATATGTACCTTTACATTACATATTGTTTTTAATATTAAAATGGTGTGTAATGATTAAAATATTTCTTTCATAATAATGAAAGATATATACATTTTTTTACTTTTTACTATAAACATTTTCTTATAAGAAAACATTTATAAAATTTTGCTTAAACTTAAATTTAATAATACATAAATCGTACACAGTTGTTATTAAATTATATATTTGGTCCCGTAAAATTCCATATAGGTACTAATTCTCTTAGCTTTCTTGTCCATTCACAAACTTGGTATTGTTACTTAGTATTATAAAGATTCACTTTTCTCAAAACTGCTTTGAACATATTATGCTATATAGTTTTCTTAAATTTAATAGTTGTTGATATATGTATATAATTGTATATATATATATACATATTATACTGTACTCGTAAACTGTCCAACCAAGTTTGAAAATATTTAGAGAAATTTAAGATATATTCTCCGAATAAGACACAAAAGGCATAAATTTATACTTAAAAACAATAATGATTAGTGTATTTAACTCAAATTATTATTATTGACATATTGTTATCTAGGAAATAAAGACTCCACGCACACAATAATATTAGCAAAGGAATACCAGAACATCGTAATGCGTTTATCGTACTTGAACAGCAAATTCTATTCTGATAAGTTCAGAACTCTCAATCATTATTTATTTATGAATCAGTTAACTGTGTGGTAATAATTTCCAAATAGCTTAATAATTATTTAAATTCAGTATTTATTAAGCATTAAACTTATTTAAGATTCTAACTGAAAATTACATGACTGCACATTGGTTGATATGTTTGTGGTATTACACTTGGTCATATTATTATATTTTAAGAAGCCTAAGAACAAGAAAAAATCGGGTTAAAAGAAATATTTTTCTTACGACAATATGTATATATATATATATCAAATGAAAAGAGAATAAGAGTAGGAAAATTTGTAATACTATATAAAATTTTAAGTCAAATGAAATTAGATGGCCATTTCTTAGTCTATATGTACTAAATTCCAAAGGACATTTATAATTCGGTTTTCTTATTTGATAACATTTATGTATTTCATATGTAAATTATCATATTAATGTATTTAACTTTGTTTGTCAAATTTTTTTGTTCCAAAACTTTTTTATTTATTTTACACACAAGATTTGTTATTTAAAACAATATCCTTTCTAAAGGCCATAGCTACTAGAGCTAGGCTAGATATAATTATTTAGTTATTTGCAAAACAACTCTGCAAATTAAAAAAATATACTTTATGCTTAATATATAAAGTATAAGCGCACAATAGATCTTAAAGGTCGGGGTGCTTTAATAGTCTATTAAAGTATAAAGTATTTAATATACTTTGTATAATATATATATACTTTATATATAAGCTATTCGTTCATATTTTTTTAATTCAGTATACTAGAATTCAGCAAGCTGATTATTTATTACTGAAGAAAAATTTTTTATTTAAATTATATTATATATATAGTTATAAACTATTTTTAAGTATATTTATATATAATTATATATTATTTATGATAATACTTAAAATTTTTTAAATTACTTTATGTTTATTATTTTAAAATGAATAGCTTATTAAGTCATTTTAAGTCCACTAGACTTCTTCAAGAAAATTATTTTTTTTTTATATATATTTTATCAAAGTTCGAATGTAACTACTCTCATCACATCAGACGTTGCAATGGAGAACTACTGTTTTGCCTATAAAATTGGTTCGTTTTAGTGTGAAGAATATTAACATTATTTAAATTTTATTTGAAAATTTTTATATAGTTAATTTTTTTTTTTTGCATTATAATGGTTATATATAGCAATAAAATATGTATTTAGTATGTTATGCAGCTCATACAAAGCAATTTATAGTAGCAAATGCCTTCAGCTACAAATTTAAAAACGTAGCTAATAATATAGCATTTTTATTTTTAATAATTAAATTAAAAATGAAAAAATATATATTTATTTTTTAATATCATATATTTGTCTTAAATTCTTACATAATAAAATCTACATACCTACAATAATAAACTTTATATATATATATATATAATATAATAATATTAATAAAAATAGTTTAAATACATTTAAAAATTCATCTTTTTGTTGAATAAAATATTTATATATATAAAAATCTTTTGTCTTTTTGTTTTAAAAAAAGTGTATAATATACAAAAAATAATACAAAAACAATTCGTGTAGTTGCAAAAGAGAAATTTTACTTAAAATCTAATGATTTTTTGGTCCAATATATAGTTTAAGTATTTAAAAAACGAAATAAATAAAAAACATTTGTCAAGGTACACGAAATAAAGATGAAATTCATGAAATGTATATGTGGAAATAATACAATAATAATAAAAAACGTATGCCAAATTGAAAATAATACAATTTAAAAATACAAAATGGTGCTTAACAATTATGAGTATAAAATGAAAATTGTACAAAAATTTTCACAAATAGAGATGAGTGCAATTAATATAAAAATAGTATGGGGGGAATGTTTGCGGCATGTCAATTTAAATTCATTACTTTAGATACTTTTTTTGGTAAATGACCTTAGAATGAGCTTAGAATGGACGCCTCAATTTTGCAATAGCATTTGTCAAATGTAGAATTTCGGTGTTCATCTGGTGTACGAGTGTGTCCAATTTCTCAACTGAGTCGAGGATTTCGACGCGTTCAGTGTGTGGATTGAAGCGTACTTCGAATGGTCGTGACATGGTGGATACCCAGCGACGGAATTTCTCTTTGGCATCTTCGAAACTGTCGGCCACATAGTAGATGGGTTGGTATTCCTGATCTTGATAGGGTTGTACAGCGGTGGATGCTGGTTCGAAAGCACGATGTTCGCACTTGTCGCTGATAGCATGCAAAAGTTCGCCGTATGAGGAGAGGAGACCAGCACCATAAGCTTTTACTTCACCGTGTTCCTTGCAGAGACCGAATTCAACAGTGAACCAGTAAATCTGTAAGAAAAAAACACCAAGAAAAAAAAACAATTAATTCGTGTGAAAAACTTAAACTTTTATGTGCACTACAAAAAACTACAACCGAAATCTAATCTTAAATACTTGACACTGACATTTGAAAAATAATTCACTAATGCTTTCAATGCTTTTGAAACGGCAAAAATTCGGATAAGATCAAATTTGGTGTTACGAAAACATTTTGAGCACATGACAATAGCCTTTAAAAATTCAATTTGAAAAATCGCTACATTTTGTACAAGGTCGGGCGGGCAAAATTTTGTTACAGAAACTTGCACATTTAAGTCAAGATTAAAAATGCAACTCGCTCAAAGCCACTACCAAGCCGACAAGCCGCCAAGCCGCCAAGCTGCCAAGCTGCCAAATGCACGAACTTGAATCAGCGAATGGCAAGAGCAAATACTGCAGCCGACTACTAGTTTTGCCAGCTGGTTAATGTCATGTTTACTATTTGCCTTTGGCCGCTACATTCTAATAACATTTTTTTTTTCGCTTTTAGCTAGCGTTAAGGCCAGCTTTATTCCAAATCGCTTGAGTTTATTCTGATAATAAAGCACCACAGCCATTTGGCCTAAAACTGGCAAATTGCATGCGATCGAACGTGCATTGATGCGTTACGTGAACTTTACATGAGACCGACTGACTGACTAAGTCTGAGTCTGAGTCTGAATCCGAATCCAAGTCTGAGTTTGAGTCTGTTGAAGCGATAATTTGTTACCAAGCGGTAAAGTAAGGAGTTGTGGCATTATATGACATGGGCGTGTATTCCAAGCATTTTGGAGCTAAAAATTCAAGGGGCGTCTCGCCTAACACCCAGCGCAAGTGTTGGCCATTGACGGCTACTCGCTTAGCAAATAAATTGCCAGTTAAATTATAATTTGCGAAAAATTGCTTCACTGCACAAATATGTCATAGTTAACGATTTTTAAATCAAGTTAAATGCAATGCTTAACTAACTCGCTACTAACTAACGAGCTAAATATTTATTCAAGGCTATTAAGTAGTGCTAACTCAATTTGCATTCTGCATTAACTTCAACTGCTAACGATATGCATACAAAATGCAAGATACAATACACAAGATACAAGATACAATATACTAGATACAATATACAAAATCAATTATTATCATTTTTAATATAGCGATTATTCAATACTTACAGTGGACAACTTTTCGATTTCTTCATCAGAGGCACCCAACGAAGCCAAGCCAATCTCTTGCGAGAATTGTGCAAAGCTGGGATCAGCTAAGAGTGGCATGTGTCCAAGCAATTCATGAATTGTATCACTGAAAATAATTAAAATGGCAAATAATTTAATTATGTGTTTATATGCAAGAACAATAAGCAGAAATTAGTCGTTGTAATAAATGCAAAAATTGCTACTGTTACTTGGTACTTGGTACTTCTTACTTATACATTGTAAATTGTGGCACTTAAGTCATGAGTCGCACAAAAGGAAAAAAGCTAAACTAATTATGTACATGAAGTTGCTGTAAAATGATGCCAACAGTGGCATTGTTAGAAGCTCCGTGCTCCGGCCTCCGTGCTCCGTGCTCCGAGCTCAACATATTGCCATACAGACCACAATAAAGAAGGGCAGAAAGTCACATTTCTCCAAGTGGCTTTTTTTATTGTTGTGGGTGACTATGTTCCTGACTGTGGCAGGGACTGTGGAGTAGCGGTGGCAGTGGCAGTGGCAGTGGCCAATTACTGTCTTCCGGTGTAAAAATAGTCAACATTGTTGGAAAAAGTTTTCTACAATTTCTTCTACTTTTGTGTGTGACATGCTAAAAAGCATATTTCCTGCACCTCAACGACTGTCAAATGAAATTAGTTTGAAGGCTTTTATTCTGTCACCAAAGAACAGCAGCAATGAAGGATGTGATAGCAGAAGTGGCAGAAATGTTTTAGATTCAAGTTAATTTAGGAGCAAAGGCGATAGTAGAATATGCCTTTCAGTGCGTTAAATATACTAATGGAGATACTTTTAGATATGCATTAAAAAATCATTCGTTACAAATGTAATTATGCTCCATATTGACAAAACGATTGATTTTCAAAGCTATTTTAGGAATAAAGTAGAGCATATAATAAAAGGAACCTTAAGTATGTCAACAATTGCTTGACTTTATATTATAATTGTTACTAGTAGAACAATCAAGCTCGGAGCTTATATTGAATAAATACTTTTTAAATATGGATATTAGGAACTACTCAACAAAGAAAATGCTTTCAAGAATTTATTTCTAAGAAACAAAAACCTTGGTTCGATTAAAGACAGTTGTAGTATAAATGAACTGATCGTTATAGTGTTCCACTTCTAAATTAGGAATCTGAATTGCTGTTATTTATCTGCCTTTTTGACTAAAAATGACTCGTTTTTTCATTTTATCCATTATAGAAATATATATATATGTATATATATATATATAGAGTTTATCATGCAACAGGAAGCGAATAAATTCTTAAAGTCTACTAATGCCAACTTCTTAAAGTCTCAAGACAGCAACAGTTACTACCTCAACAACTTTTTGCATTATATAATTATAATTATAAATATATCAATGATAAAATTTTGAAATACTTACGGTTCTGGGGTGTGGTATGGTGATTTAACGTGGCGCACATATTGTGTGCTCTGGAAAATACGGAAAGCCAATGAAGCCAAGAAGTCACGAGCAGTCAATAAACCAGCAGCTGGACGCAATGTGAAACCAGTGTTCTTACGTAAAAAGTCAGACATTTCTTGCAATTGTGGCAAACGTTCATCAACGAAGATTTTCTCGTCTTGCAATTTCTTGAAAGCGGCACGATATTCAGCGCAAGCATGTTTTGGTGCCAAATCCAAAACAGTACGGAATACTGAACGCCATGTCTTGACTTCGACATCGGTGTAAGTGATGTATGGAATTGGATCACCATATTTGTAAGCAAAAGCAATTTCAGCAATTTCCTTACGACGTTGACGATAGACTTTGTCAGCAAAACCTGGATGATTCATATCCAAATCTGGTTCGTATTTGGTCATCAAGTGATTGCAGTTATCCAATTCAGAGGCATGCTTGGGGAACCAAGGTGCCTTAACACTGATATTGTTTTCAGCTAACAAATTAATGCTGCTGAAGCTACCAGATTGACGTAGTGAACGGATCAATTGTAACAAATTGCCACGTGTCATATCCAATTTGATGAGTACATCGTGTTCAACACCTTGTTCGCGTGATTGACGTGACTCAACGTGTTGTACAGCGCCATGGAAAGTTTCAATTGCTTTAAGTATGCGACCCAATGAGGAGATGCCCTCCTTAAGACGTACCACTAAAGCAGCACTTTGCATGGCATTCTCAGCTTCAGCTGATTCAGAAGCAGCATTTGCCAAAACAATTTCATCTTCAGTTAAGCCGGCATCTATGGAAATTGAAATGAAATGAGTTGAAATACAGGGATTAGTATATTTTAAATTATTGTAATTTTAATTTCTTAAGGCATTAATGCAGCTCTTATGACAGAAAATCTTTAGCAGATTTATTATTCTCTGGCAAATCCGCTTTTATGAAATTTTTACAAATTCATCTTTTATGCGCGGCACGAAAACTATTTCAGCCAATTGAGTTCGACATACACACGTTCGCATAGATACTTTATGTTAAGTGTACGGTGTCAAGGGTTGCCATGACAAATGCTAAAAACATTATGCATATATATGTGTACATATATACGAGTATATATTATTTTATAGAATTGGAGCACAATCAACGTAAGCGCCATAACGATTAAGTTAAGTCGTCATAGGATTTCTTTTCTTCTCTGCCATTCTGCCATTTTATTGTGCATATTATGTCGTGTGGAAAGCAAGGAAAAGCTAAAGGAAAATTGAATCTAAAATCCTTATAAAAATATTTCTTAAAAGGAAATGTGCAATTTTCCATTTAGAATATATGGACGTGTGTACGTGTATCTCAGCTCCTAACACGGCTAAAAGCCACAAGTGGGTGTTAGTTGCTTTATGGTTCTATTAATGCAGCGCAAGGCGTTAAATCAGTGTCGCTTGATGTGCCAAATCAAAGTTAAGTACTTTAAATTTATTTTATGATTTATGTTTATGCTTACCATCAGAGTTGTTGTTGGATTGTTCAGTATTGTTATGACCCTCTTGAGCTGAGGAATTGTCTTCAGCATGGAAATAGGTTTCATTGTCTAAAGTGCCACAACATTTATAAGGAAGTAGGAATCATGCAAAAAATAATATAAGAAAAAGTAGGAAAACATAAGTTAAATAAATTATGGAATTATAAATTAAATAAAATTGTAATATTTAATAAAAAAAAACAAAAATTAGGAATTGTGAGGAACTTAACTACCTTCAATAAAATCTTGTTCATCATTCACTTCCAGATCAGCGGGAATTTCAACATTTTCTGCATTTTGCAAATCAATCTGTTGCTCAGCTGGAACGTGCTCGCCTTTGGCTTGCAGAATGCATTCTTCCAAAGAGGCATCTTTTGTTTTTTTTTTGGAACAGATAAAGGGAATCAAACCAAATAATATAAAAATAAACAAATAAAGAAATAATAAAATAATTAATAAAATTGAACAACTGGGTTTTTAGTATATAAGGGATAACAGGAATATCAGGGTGTAACAGTACATGCTTTGTAGAATTAAAGTAATTGGACTTGTTAACTTACCATTAGCTTTGGTGCGTGCTTCCTCCAAAACAGTTTGTTTGGTCTGCTTGACTACCAAACTTTCGAAGCGTGCATCATCTACCAAAGAGCGGCGGCGTGATGGATAACCATTCTGTAAAAAAAAGATTAATAAAAATTTATTAGAAAAACACTTCTAAAATAATTGTTATTTATTGTTATTGTTATAGTCATCACTACACACGACACACTACTCTAACTGCTCATTATCTCTTAATGAGCTATAATATCTTTGAAGTTTCTCGCTTAGCTGATTTCATACAAAAATTTTGTGCATTTTTTTTTAATTTTTATTTTGATTTTATATTCATAATATTTTTATTTCTTATCTTTTCAACCTTTAACCTTAACCTTCAAATATTTCAATGTATCAGCGTTTCTGTTTAAAATTTTTTATATATAAAAAAGTTCGTTAACCTCTTAGAAATCGAAGCAAATCAATAAATATTTGTATAAAAACAGGTATTTGCAAAAAGTTCCATTTATAATATCCAACCTATAAGATATTCTACTACTTCTGTTAAATATATAAGATCAATTATAGTACAAAATATCTGGTAACTCTTTTGAGCGATTTTCAAACACATTTTGAGCCCATTTGAGCTGGCTTTCATACACAAAAGTCAATGACTTATGCCGCTCTTATGAGTACTACGCATCTATCTTCAACTTATGCAACTGATGTGTCTACACCTCAACAATCACAACCGTTACCTTCACGTAAAAAACTGTCTTTATATATATGTATATATATATATATATGTCTATATGTTTAGTGACATAATTTAAGTGCTTAAATATTTATATAAAAAAAAAGAAAGAAAAAAATTTCAACATATTTTTGCAGCTTTCATGTATCAATCGATCTTCGATTACAAAATCTTACTTAACGCATTAAAAACGAAAGTTTAGTTTCCCGCTCTATCTACTATATAACTATCTCAGAGTGACCGATTGATCATACTATTTTGTATGAGTTATATGAGTCTTCTGTTAAGTGTGTGGCTTGGTGTGAGCAAAACATTAAAGCGTTTATTGATGGTCAAAAAAGTAGCGCAGTTTGCCGGTAAAATTATTTAAAATTGATTTTTGTTTTCATTGTTTTTGTTTGTGTTTCTTGCGCATACTGCCGCCAGATATTGTATCTGCCAGATATTTTATCTGTGAAACACAAACGATCATGCACGCGTGCGGTCTTAAGTAAGCTAAATTAATGCGCTCCGGTATTGTTAATTTATGTCATGTTTTGATATTGTAAATTGTTAACAAATTGACTTAATGTGGCTATAAAATTCATTGATGGCTTCATTGGCCCGGCCCGGCCCGTTGCAGTTTGTATCGAGTTCACATATTGACTGCCGCGAGATGCCACTAGTTTAATTTTCACACATTTTTAAAATTGTTTATTTGCATAAATTTGTATAAATTTTTTTCTTTTTCGAAACAGAAAGAAACTATAAGAAATTTATAACAGTTGAAGATACTTTTTCGGGGCCAAATCAATAAGATTTGAAAATTATAATAGACGGAAGAATTGTTCGCATGTGGAACAGGAAATTACCTAAACTGTGAAATATTAATATTGAGAATGCAGATCAGTTGCTACATAAATATTTCTAAGAATATAAATACTCGAAATATATATTATCGTCAAACCTATCTGCTGACCTATTTAATGCATATTAGCACCACACCACTTGAGGGACACTTCCTGCAGCCGAGGCTTGTGAATGAGTATGTCAAGTTATTTTCAACAAACTTCAGATGCACTAAAGATGATGAAAGATATATATGCTATTAAATCATAAAAATTTCTTTAAAACTGGAGCATAAAATGAACTTCAAAAAGCTGCTTTTTCGTGATATTTTCGTTTTCAATGCAAAACAATGACAAGTATTTTTTTGTTTTTTATTGGATTTGTTTGTTAAGGCTGAGTTGTTGGACCATTGGACGAACTGTTGATCAGACCTGATTAGGGCACTTTCACTCTTGTTTATATCATTATTTATTATATTTGTTGTTAAATAATACTTAACACCTTGGGCTTTTGTTGTTAATTTGACCGCAGTGGCCGCTTTGTTATTATAATTATTGAGAGGCTTTTTCAAAGCAATTCTGAGGTGTAAATTGTTTTTAATGTAGGAAATTTTTATATTAATTTACATATAAACAGACAAATGTTGAATTTGCAAAAATCTTTTTTGTTTTCATTGAAAAAATTACCAAAGAGCATAGATCTATGGCTATTTACTAAAAGTTATTTACTGATATTTCTAAGCCGCACATCTTGCTAGCAAACAAAAGTCACGTAGTCCAATTTTTGGTATATAAAGCTACTAACTTTGCTAACTTGTTATTTTGGCATTGGGAAGATACAAGTTGTGAAATTATGAAATTATTTATAATTTTTGATAACAATAGTTGAACTATTTTGTAATAAAATTTGTCAATTTTTATACAATTATTGTTTTTTTTTAATTTTTTTTTGTATTACAATTGCTATAATAAAGCGTTAAGGTATGAAATTTTCTAATTGCAAAAATTGTTCTCCGTTGAATTTGATGTATTTGAAATACTTTTATATTGAACCTATTGCTGTATTTATTGCTGTATATTAAAAAAATCAGTTATAGTGATCAAATTGGAGTATAAAATATTAAAAAAATATCAACAAAATATAAATTTAACAGAATCTTAACGCAAAGAACTAATCCTACATTTATGTTATACTTTATAACTTTATTATTTTTATTTGCGCATGATTTTATTTTTAATTATGTTATTTTTTTTAATACATAACGATTTTTAATAATATAATAAATAAAAACTGATAAAAATTTGAAAATCTATCATTTCTATTTATTAATTTTATAATTTTTGATTTTAGAGAATATTTTTATATTAAAAAAATTTTGAAATATAAGAACGAACTTTTTTAATAAAAAAAATTAATTATGGAAAAGCGTATAAACTCTTAAAAAAATTATTTTTCAAAAATTATAAAATGAATTTACTAAATTGACCAAAATTAGTTTTAAATATTACTTTTAATATAGCGAATATTATTTTTTTAATATGGCCGCAATATATTATATAAATAATTAATAAAAAATTATTTATAATTATCCCGAAAGTAGTGCTTATGGCAATATTTTAATTTAATCAATAAAAATAAAATATATTAGGAATTATTTATTATTAGTTTGTAAGAATTACTTTAAGTGAGAACTTAATTTAATAAATAAAATTATTAATAACCAATTATTTATAATTAGTTTGAAAGTAGTTTGAAAGTAGTGCTTTTGACAATTATTTTAATTCAATAAAAATAAAATAAATAAGGAATTATTTATTATTTGTTTGAAAGAATTACTTTAAGTGAGAATTTAATTTAATAAAAAAAAATGCATTTATTTATTATTAGTTTGAAAGAAATATTTTTAAAAATATTTAATAAAAAAATTAAATTCAAATCATAAGTTTTTATATGTTATTATTTCAATTAAGTAATTAAATGTTTTTTAAATTGTAAATTTTTAATATAAGAAATATTTTTAATGATTTTTATTATTTTCATATTTTTTTTTATTTTGTTTTATTTATAATTATATTTTGTTAAAGAAATTAAAAATTAAATAGAAATTTTAGAATTGGAAACTTTTTTTTTGAAAAAACTTTTTAATTGAAATATTTTTAAATCTTATATATATATATAATAAATGTTATATTATATTATATATATAAGAATTTTTTTGGAAATACTCACCTCAATGCTGTATGATTTTTTGATAGCGAACATTTCGCGGTTCTTTTGTGCTGCAGCTACGGCCATCATTTTGTTATAGTTTTTTGTTGTTGTTGTAAGTTGAAGATTAAAAAATTCAAAAATTTATAAAAGTATTAAGCACTTTAGATACTTTTTGTGTGTGTTTTAAAGAATAGAATTCTCGCTCGTGTTGTAGGAAATAAGCCTTTAGAATAACACTTTGCACTGCTTATTTTGTTCCTTGCTCTCCAATTTCTGTTAACTTCTAGAACTGCTTGTGTCTTAATCAGCTTTAGAATTTTTCACAAAATTGTAATTTTATTGAAAAATCTTTTTCTTATTATAGTAGCACCAACAGGACGATAGAAATCCTTTTTGAGTGTGTTTATTATCACGTTGTCAACCGTTAATATCTCGAAACTTTTAAACAACTTTAGTGAATGTTAAGTAAACTTTTCGATTTATTTATAATTTATTTATTTTACGTAAAATTTTAACTTTTATATCCTTTTTGATTTGACAATTAGGCAGAAAAGCTAATGTAATTACTACAAACAGCGGCACTTAACCAAAGAAGAAGCAAGTCTTAAGAGCGAATGATAGCGAATCAATGAATGCCTTATGTCCAGCTCGGTGCGCTTAAATACCCTCAGCGTACGAGCATCAGACGAGCCGAAGCCGAAAGTGAGCGCGAACGAAAATCACCGCTGCTACAGGTTTTGGTTTTCGCATATCTCGGACGACAAGTCTGCCAAAACGATTAATGAAAACAAAACAAAACAAAACACAAAAAAAATACATATTAATTATAATAAATAAGAAGAAAAAAATACCACCAGTGTTACTAATGTAAGCGTAATACGGCACGATGTGTGACGTATTTTACATACAATATCAACCAACGTCAGGAGTCAGTCACAGCGGAGCGGGTGTACAAGTTTTAGGTTTTTTTTTTTTAGAGACGAAAGCGCGCACGCTTCAAACAGAGCAAGAAACCAACAACAAGAACAACAGCAGCAACAACAACTATAAGCGCAACAATAATAATAATATACTCCCATTGCTTACGAATGCTCATACGTAGTGTTTAACACACAAGTGGGGTTTCCTCTCGCTTTGGATATCAAGTTCAAGTACCAAGTACAACAACACTGTACACTGCAGAAACTGAGCATAGCATCATAGCAGTAACAAGTGTGAAGTTGATAATATTGAGTATGCTGGGTTAAAATATTTTGGTACTGTGATATGGTGCTGTGCGGTGGCAAAGAGTACGTAAGTATGTATGTGTACATGTGTACATGTGTGAGCTTTAAAATTTCTGTGAAGTGAATGAGCATATGCATGGAATCTCCCAATAACAGTTGTAGAGATTTTTTCTTGCTTTTGTTGGTGTATGAGTGGTAGTGATTTGAATAATTGGTACAGCAGCAGGTGTGAGTGTGAATTTCCATACGCTTGCGCGTCATCATAAAATGCAATATAAATAATATAATAAAAAAAAAAAATACCAGAATAATTATTATATACTAACCATAATCATAATAATATTAAGAAGTTCTAAGAGTTATTAATAATTTGATGAATCTTAACTTAATTTTTTACTTTTCGCATGAAATCGTTCAAATTCTTTCAATTGTGCGTTTACGCCTGCTTTAATGGGGAATTTTTTATTGTGGTTTTTACAATTCACACTTACTCAACAGTCATGCACTTAAGCAGTTTTGCAGTTTTGCTCCTCATTACATTTCGGCTCACTTTTGATGAAGTGATATCAGTTGCAGTTGAATGAAGTCAACTGCAGAGTAAACACCGTATTGGGTATTGACCGCTTATGTTAGTTGCCAGTGACTGTTAACCACTTACATTCGTCAATTAAGCGCACTTCATACATAGCTGTGTGCACCACTTCACATCGCTTAAGTGGCTTTGGTGAACAGACAAAAGTCTATGAACACAATGTGAACGGTAGGTAGCGTTGGTGTAGGCGTTAAAAATTTACTAATAACATTTTTATTATGGATTTAATTTTTTTTTTAAATTTTTATTAATAATCGTTTTTTTTTTTCATTCATAAAGATTTTTTCAATTTTAAACAAATTTTATTGATTTTTTTATTTTAACGACTTTTATTCTAATTCAATCATTTTTATTCTTTTTTTTTTGTTTGCTATTTTAAAATAATTTGTTACAATTAATTTTGTTAAGTGCTTTTGTTTCGTTTGAGCTGTTTGAGCTATGAAACAATTTGACTTTGAAATATTTCTGTGCTTTGTGGCTCAGCAGATTCAATAAGCGGATACGGATACGGATCTCTCAGTGTATGCAAAGGATTTTTTGATTTTTACACACATTATATTTAAAAAAAATTAAAGGAAATAATTAATACGCTTCAAAAAAGACTGAAACTCAATTAACGAGAATGCAGAATACTTTTTCCATACAAAACTATAAAGTAACAAATAAATATTAACAATTCTTTTTAAGTTCAACAACAATCTAGCTACGCCTGTTAAGTCCTTGCCAATAGAATCAATTTTAGTTAACAGCACTTTAACAGAACAGATAACTGTAACAACAGAACGCTAGTTTCATTTCTGACACCTAAGCCGTTGAATGTGATGCGCAGTAAAAAATTTATAAAAAATAATTAGAAAGAAAAACTACAACTTATGTTAATTCTATTAAATAGTTTATCCTTTGTTTAAAATATTTTTATTTTATTAATAATAATACCATAAAATGATCTTATTGTTTTATGAATAGGCTAATTAGTCAATGTTAAACGATATTCAAACTTTTAAATTAGTTTTAAAAATTGTATTAGATTGTCATCGATATTTTGACTATAATCTGTAGTCATCTTCAGGGTACGCTTAACATAAATAGTGGAAATATTGTTGACAATGAAATATATTTATTAAAACTAATTCAAAAAATCGAGTATTATTTAACATTAAGCAATCGGCTCATTAAAGAACATATTAAATAATTTTATAATCGTCTTAACAAAGCATTATCCCTTTTATCCTAACAGCAAGACATAATCATTGTTTTTTTTTTAACTGTGATTGATTTATATATATTATTTGCCACTCATTTGCTGCATTGTATTTTATCATGTAACTTTTTCTAGGAAAGATGTACCTGAACCTTTTTTTATTGTCCATAAAGAAGTGTTCTTTACAAAACAAAAACAAATATTCGTAATTTACCTTTAAAGGGATGGATAGGTAAGATTATGCATTTCACTCAGAATAATATTGTATTTCAGATGAAAATGAACATCAACCAAAAAAATAAAACTCTTAATATAAAAAGAAGACACGAGCAAAGTCACGTCCTCAAATTTGGAACGAAAATATTAAGATGCAAAGAGTTGGATTGTTTGAATATACGTTAATAGAGAAACTTACCTGAAAAAATAATAGAAATGAGTAAAAATTGTAATTTTTTTTCTTGATATGTAATAATATTAACCTTTTATATTATAGAGACTAAATACTTTTTTACTTTCACTGTTTATTACTAAGACACTGTTTATTACTAACAATATATTTAACTAAAATCTATAACTCTAAAGGTTTTATCATCTTTTCTTTAACAAAAAATAATTGTCCTTGATTTTAGAAACAATTTTATTGCAACTTTTTCATAAATATGACTCTTAGAAATAATACCTCTATAGTATTTTTTGTATATACTTTATCTGAGGACGATATCTGCAGACCTGCTTAAATTATAAAATTTAATGTGGGATCTAAGCTTTGGCTTAGTTACTATTTACTTTTGTTTGAAAATGAATAAATAAATTAAAATTTATAATTTGCTAAATTTACTAAGTAATTGTGTTTATTTTATAATTAATTTTGTACAGATGCTATGAGATAATTTACTTATATAGTTGAAACTAGTAATTAATTCCATTGTCTTAATTTCAATTTAATTCTTAGACTTTACTAGGAGCTTAATTTAAATAATTAATGATTTAATTAATTTTTTTAATTGAACTGAGTGATACGAACATCAGCATTTACAATTAAAGACAACTAATGCCCATTGTGACGCCTTTATAGATCTTCAGAGGTGGCGTTCTACACTAATCATTTCATCCAATATACGAGTAGTTCCAAGTGTTATTCTTCACAAATCGTTTTATCTTCTTAATTAAGTTAAAATCACTTAGTATGTCTACTTTAGCTATCTCTACCAGGCTAACGAAAACACATTCTGGTACACATTGTTGTAACTTCGTCTATAGCCCTTGCCATAGACACAGAAAGTGATTATTAGATTCTACTTTCTCTTTATCGTAGCAGCACCTATAAAGTCCAGTGCTTAACAGCGAACTAAACAACCTATATGGTATATTTAATTATCTTTTATTGGAATATTATTTTGTGATTTCCATCAACAGAAATAGTACAGAAGGAATTTAAAATTTAGTTAATATACGGTATGCTCTGAAGTTTTTAATCTAAATATGAAGGAGGTGCTTTAGGGTGAATATATTTTTTTGAATTTATGCATTTCTAAATATATCAGCTATCAAATTCTTTTTTAATACTTGTTTTTATTGCTTGACCTAAGTGTCTACATGTGATCCTACGCTATCTAGAGCCACAGTGAAGGTCGAATGTCTGGCTTTAAACGTAATCGCTTCTGTTTAGTTGGTGAAAGCCATTCTGGATGGAAACATACTGCTGCCATTGACAAAAGCTTTGAAAAAATATATAAAATGGTATGGGATGACGATCCTATAAAAGTTAGAGAGTTTATTGAAACTGTGAAAATTTCACTTGACCGCTTTTAATTAATATTTTATGAATATGAAAATAAAAAATGAAAAATATTCTATGAAATTTAAGGCATGAAATAGTGTTCCTCGTATTAGGTAGACTTTGAACTGAACGGTAGAATGGTTTAAACAAAAAAGATGACAAATTTTCTCAGACTTATTATTGTTAGTTAAATATATATTCTTTCTTAACTAGATGTACGCGTTTGTGATAAACTAAGAGATAATAAAAATATATCATCCGTTCAACTGCAGTTACTGAACATCATTAATAAAACTTATAATTTATTAGCAACATTAACATTCAAGGACTTTCATTATTGTAATGATTAATATTTAATAATTTTTGAATATTTAAAAAATGTTTTGAATCAATAATTTATGAATTATTTAAATCAATGAAATTAATAGCCAAATAATTGAAAGTAATCTACAGTATATTTTACATTTAATTAGAGTATCACTTACAATGCATTATTAGTAAATCGAATTAAAGTATTTAAACTACTTTTAATGTCCGTGAGGCAACAATTATTGCAAACAAATGTACAATTCAATAAATGTATCTATACAGCATCTAAATACCTGTAGTCGTATCTATAAGATACATACGTTGTGTGCGTTGTGACATTCAATTTCTTTTTAAAACATCATAAGTGCATTAATTAGACCAACTAAGTAAGGCAAGGAAGGTACAATTGTAACAATTAAAACAAATGGTTTGATAATTATTTTTATAATTGACATTTATTGTTAATTATATTAAATATTAATAACACACAATTGATTTCAAATGAAAATTTGTAGAT